CCCGCTCTGCGGGCTAAAATTTAAGGTGAAGGTAAGGTTGGAGTATTGTGTGAAAAAGCAAGAGCTGGGCAGTAATAAGTATTTTCCTGTTTAAGTGAGGCTGTTCTTGTAAGTTATTGGAAAAACAGTTATTTGTAGTCATTCAGTGTTACTAACTGCTTTATTTACTTGTTATTCACAGAACAAGTTCTTCCACTCAAATCACATTCTACCTAAAGGGTTGTCCTTATTTTTCACGCTCTACGTCCTCTTTTCTTGACAACACGTCATACTATGTGCGTTAACTTAGGTAAACAAAACATGTCAGGCCTTCCCTTGTGCCTTGATTAAGTATTACTCCTTTACGGTATAATTGCCTCAAGACTTAACAATTTGATAAACTTTGCCAAAAGTAACAATAGCTTTCTCTTAAAATAAATTTTTGAGAACTGCTCTCATAATACTGGGGTAACAGTTCCTGATTCCTGAGGGTTCCTGCTCTCATTCATACTGGTATTCTTCAATCCTTTTTAGTTGCCGAGTCCTTGAGCGTTTAGCATTCTCAGCCGCTACTGCACGTGCGCTACTTGTGGTGAAAAAATCCCCTGGTTTGGATGCATTGCTCACCGGAGCATCAGGGAGTGGGGATGACTGTCCTTCAGCGACGACAAGGCGTACTTCATCCACTCTCTGGGAAACCGTATTCTTAATGACGGGTGTGAGTTGTAATAGGGTCAGATAACCAGTGATCTGTGCCAGTCGCATCACGGATACAGAGTCATCAGCGGTTCTCAAGTGTTCCACAGACTCTACAAACAGACGGCGCCGCATGCGTTCCGATGCCAAGGGACAGATGTTATCGATAGCTTCAGCATATTCAATATCGGTCATAAACCCAGGCCTCCTTCCTGGTTGTTGCAGCAGTTTAACTTCCATTTCTTGAAAGCGAGGTTCTCTGTACTTCAGAATGATGTACAGGAAATACTCGGACACCAGTTCTTTAGAAATCTTGTTTTCGCTGAAGGAGGTGTAGCCCATTGAGAACTGCTCAATGTCTTCCTCATTCATGAAGGGATAAACAACTTGAGCAAAAATCCTGATGTCTTTGACGGCCAACCACTCAACCAGATCGATAAACTCATTTATCAAAAGGATGTAACGAACCACAACTGGGTCCAAGCTGCCACACATCGCCTGAGCAAACAACTGAATGTTCTTGTTGCCCGAGGCAAACTTGATCACACTTGTGAAGAAATCAAACACAGCTAGAAATGTGACATCTGGAACAAGATATCGTTCGTGGAAGAAAGAGTACAGCGTATCCACAACTGAAACAATTTGTTCATCTTCCACTGCGTAATCATCCTGCCAGATAAGTGAAGAGTAAAACTGCTCAATGATGGACGATACACGATCCTGAGAAAGAGCCCTTGGTATCTGTCTTCTAATTGATGTCCTTGAGTAGTAATCATCCCAGAGGAACTTGTATGTCGTGGTCAGGTGTTGTTGTTCTTTCAAGATGGACTCTTCTCCGTAAGTTACAGTGCTGTTTGAAATCGCCGACATCGCTCGGACGCTCTCGGGAGTTTCGGTTACAAGAACAGGAGGTTTTTCCTCACGTGATATGTGCACTGTTGGCCTGATGATCTTTATGTGGGTACAGTTATGAGGCAATGAAACAACCTTGTGATCTGTAACTTTGTGAGGACAGAGTAGAGTTGTCTCACCACAACTTGCACAAAACTTGGCATCTTTAAACTCGTGATAGTTCTTTCCCTGGTTGCAGGAGTAGTACATCATTGCTGAGTACTTGCTCAGGATTCTTTCGTGTGAAATAAATGGATCTTGATTATGTGCACTGTTCATGATCTTCACAAAGTCAATCTCGTCATCGTCTTCAGGTGTATCTGGTTTCCTTTCCTTTTCTCCTTCCATGAAAAACATGCTTTTCTTTCTCTCTTTCTTTTCGTTGGTTTCTCTTTCTATCCTCTTAGCTTCCTCCTCAAGTTCGGCCAACTGATCTTCAAGACTAGACCTTTGAATCTCAATGAGCTGAAATTCGTTTTCAATATCAGCAATACTCTTTTTAAATCTTTCCTTGACTTTGTGCAGCTCCTCTTCCAGTTTCACTCTCATTTCGTGTTCATCATCTGGTGTTGCACGAAAGTTACTTCCACTGCTCTTCAAGTCAACTTCTTCTGTTGGCAAAGCCTTATTCTCCTCCAAGAAGAGTTCATATTCCTCAATAACTAAATTCTGCATGGTAAGGAGTTGCTCTTCCAGAAGCTTAGCATTAGATATTTCTTGAATGAGTTGAGCTCTCCTTGTTAGAACAGCTGGTTTTTGAGGCTTATTATCGAACACTGTTGAATCATTAAATGCTTCTTCAAGGGCGTCATAACCTTCTTTAAACTTTTCAAGGAATTTGTTCCTTTCCTTAGCTTGAGTGAGATCCTCTTTAAGACCTGAAATGCGTTTTTCGTAACGGTCTTTAGCCGCTTGTTGCATCATCTGTTCATATTGGACGCTTGTTTCAAGTTTCCTCTGCTCGAGATTCTGGTTTTCCATTTCGATTTCCATGTTGTAAATCTTATCACTGCACTCTTTAAGTGATTTTTTAAGTTGCTCGATGGTTTTATTAGCCTCTTCCAATTGTTGATCTTTCTCAGCAAGTTTGTTTTCTAATGCATTAATGGCTTCTTTTAGCTGGTCTGCGTTTTTATCGCGTTCCTCAAAAACTCGATTAACAAGTACGAAATAAGGAATGCGTTGAATATAAGTCGTCTTGCTTTTCCCTTTTTTAGGTGTTGCTGTAGTGTATTCATTGCTATACACAGCTTCGTATAGTTCATCCCGAAGCATCTTCAAAACTTTCTTATAAACTCCCAACTCTGGAATTAGTTCATCATAGACATGAAAACATGTTGTCATCCGTTCTTCGGAAAGTCCTTTCTTTGGCGTATCTTCGACAAGAAGGACTTCATACCTCGTGGCAGGTGACCTAGATGATAAAGCTCTTCTTTCAAAATCCATAATATGCGTGAAATAGCTTGAAGATTCTCACAAAATACTACACTGTTAACATTGTAATCTAACCGCCATGTTTGTTTTCCTGTTGCTATAAACGAAAATTCTGGTAGTCTGGAATCTAGTGTATCGCTGACCGTCTAAAGATTATGAACGCCGGCTCATTCTTCCTCTTCGGGTCGACATCTCGGCTTCTGAGTGACTGAGTGAGTGGAGATTGAAATCTTCTTCCATCGTCGTACATTTTCAGTTATTTCCTATTTTTACGCAACTGAAACTTATTTTATATACTACTTCCATTCTCTGTCTGTTTAAGTTTAGAAAAAAATGCATATCACTTGATGTTTTGTTTCTTCGTATGTAGACTAGTATGGCTGCCTTATTTTCGAATGATGATTATTTTCCTTGACGTTAACTGTTTTGATCGGTTTATTTCAGGTAACTAGAAGATTTAAAATGTCACAACCTACACGGTAAGTTCATCTTAATGTATGCCCATGCTTATGTTTATCTAAGATTTTGAGGTAAAGCTAAAAAATGCTAAATTTTTAGATTTAGCTTTGTAGTAGATTTCGAGTATAATTTGTTACTGTCTGATTATGAGCAGAATTTTCATCGATTTCATTACTAGCTAACCGATGCTTACTACTTAAGGGTAGCATCCGTTATGTATGTTAATAACAGTTTGAAAGAATATCGCAATCACATTTTCACACAGAAAAACTAAAACAGTATTTGGACTCATTCCCTATTTCGTGGTACAATCCTTTTTGCCAAATTGCAAAAGAATCCTATCCAGTTAAAGCCTAAAATAGCACAGACACTGGTGTCTATAAAACCTTGTGTGTGACTGTAGTGAGAATATAATGTGTTTGTAAGAATTGTTGAATACGAAAATCATTTCTTTCTACCTCTGCATTTCGGGTTTGGAGCTCTTCACTCGAAAGTGATTTTAAGGTTTTTATCACTCATGGTTGGCAGTCAATCTTAAAACTTCTTGATAAGCTCTGTGTTTTATTCTTATTAATGAATGTTGTATTTTTTGTTTTTTGATCTGATACTTCTGGGAGCGAAAGGGTTGTGACATTAAGATGAGAAGCCTTCCTATCAGAGCACTTTTGTTTTTATATTTTAGCCTGTATACAAAAGGCATTGTCCTTGGCTACAAGAGAGGCTTGCGTAATCAGCAACCAAACACCTCCCTTCTAAGAATCGAAGGAGTAGCTGCCAAGAATGAAACAGATTTCTACCTTGGCAAACGCGTTGCCTTTATCTACCGTGCCAAAAGAAAGTCAGTAGCCAAGGGAGATAAGAAAGCCAGTAAAGTGCGAGTAATGTGGGGAAAGATCACAAGACCTCATGGAAACAGTGGTGTTGTACGAGCAAAGTTCAGGCATAACCTTCCACCTAAAGCAATGGGTGCTACTGTTAGAGTGGTAAGCTATTTTTCAAAAATAATACCGTAGATGTTTGAGATCCAATGTGTGATTCTCCCCACTGACTGCAGTACATACCTTGTAAATAACACAGGAGAATTTGGTCTTTTAAAGTAACCTCTGGAAGTTGAAAGGCTAAGGCTCTCTTCACACTCGCAATTTATTTGATAGTCATCAAACAGAGATAATTCTTTTTTCTATTTTTCTTAAATATTAAAAATTCTCACTGTGTATTAGAGTGTGTCTATGAATAAAGCTGAACAAAGTGAAAACACTCTTATCCTCAATAAGTCATTCAGATTGATCAGTTATTGAGCCTACTTAGTGGAACAGAAAACTTTGCCTGTGCTTTGCTTCAAAACTTTGCCTGTAAAACCACAACAGATATTTCACTGGTGGCTTTCATGAAATTCATGTATACACTAGGCAAATCTATGGAAAAGTATGTGGTTTGAAAAAAATTCAAATTTATTGTAATGTGGCTTAGGTTAACTTAGTCAATCAAGGAAAATTTTGAAGTTCTGAGCTGTGACGAAATATATGTTTCTGTGAAATGCTGATTTATTAATTCAGCATTCTTGATGTTTAACTACACTTGAACAGAGCTCAGAATATTTAATTCTCTTATAGCATTATAAATTTCTTGGAATTTTCTTATCAGGACTAGTCCAAGTAATGATTTGTATGACAGAGAAGTATCTGACAAATCTTATGTATTGTCTTTCTTTCTGTTCACAGATGTTGTACCCTTCAAGGATTTAAGTTGAATTCTTGTGCTCTACAGTTGTACAAATAAAATCCCTTCATAACATATTTAAGTTGTGAGTGGTTGTTGCTGTTTTGTTTATTTTTTTGCTTTTCACCGCTTTGTAACCTATTGGAAAGAGAACTCTGTACTTCCTTTGAGTACTACATTGCAATGCCACTCAAACTATCAATGTATTTTGTCACCTAACAATCTGTTACCATAATAGAATAATGTCATCTGGAAATTGAATTTGTTGTATAGAAAAAGCATTTTAAAAGAAATTGTGGAATCCCTGGAGAATGGCAGTATGCAACTTATGCACTAATGTAAAGGGGCTCATCAACACCCTGTTTAATCGCCTGGAAGAAAATTTCTCTTTTAGGGGTGGGGGGTTAGGGTAATTGTCTCTTTACACCCACATCATGATAATAGTTGAGGCAATTCACTAGGCCAAACTAGGAAAATGAGACTTGCTTGGCTCAGACAAAAACCCCTTAATGAGGAAATAGTTCACAAGAAAAATAACGTGTGTCAGTTCGTTTTTTCCGGTCTCTGGAAATGTGGTGGAATGTAAGATGGTATAATGGTGGTAATGCACGAATAGGATGCAATCGGAGAATATGATACATTTGTTCCCCTTTTTGAAATCTTCTCCAGTGTAAGTTATGGGCTAATACTCGTCAAGTTCCAAGAACACTGACCTTCGAATTAAGGCGAATTACAGAACTATTCTTGTGAATCAAATTCTTGGTTCGCCCTTTCCCTTGTTTTAGAGCTGAGTCATGTATCTGCCTCATTTCAAGTTGCAATTGTCTGCCTTTTCCCTTGCGATGAGAACTCTTCCGTCATAACTAAGACAACTGATGACGTATGTGACGACACAATCATAATTTGACATCGTAAGCGCAAATTTTCGCGCGCAGCGCTACCAGTCGAACGGTTTCGCCAGATGATTAAGCCTTTTTGAAGAAAACATGTAGCATTTTTTTTGGCAGCGGAAACCCTTGTGGGGTTCACACAGCGATTGACAACATGATCACCAACATTTCCTTACAGAGGTGCAAGTTTTTGAAACTCTGAAACATTTCCTTCCGAGCACACTATGTCTCGAAGATACGAATTCGCCATGCAGAAACATGGTAAAGGGCAGAGGAGAAAACCAAAAGAAAAGCTTCAGCTCAACAAACTTGATCTCCAGGCGTTACCGTTACTCAAAGACCAACGGGAATCCGAGTATGAGGCCAGCTGGAGAAAAGACCTGTTGTCACCAGAGGAAAAGGAGGAAGACCTAGCGACAGCTACTAAGAGTGAGAGTGATCTTCCGTTAACAGTGCATGCAGTGGGAATAGGACAACAGAAGTCTAATGACTACATCGAGCAGGAGTTTAGCGGCATCACTGATAGAATATCAAAGGTAAAATATCACGAATAAAGGGTGGAGAGGGGAGGGGAGGGGAAATAAGCTTCTGACGAAACTGTGGCGCTGCGTCGGTGGGCAGAATAACAAGATAATTTGATTTTATCGACTGGGTTGGCAGTGAAAATTGTCCGCCGTAAAGAGTTTCTAAAGCTGATCATCCCAGCGTTAGCCCTTCGTCAGAGCGAGGGACATGTATTTGATTCGTAGGTTAAGAAGCTGTAGGCAAAAGTTCCCCTAGGGAGGGAGAGTAAAAACTGTGGGATGATAGATGTAGAGATTTTTGAGACTACACTTTGAATGATAGGCCAAGCTCACATTTGATTTAGCCTCGATAAATACCATTATCCTTGTTTGATAAGTAAACTGTTAGATGTTTTAAAAAAATAATTTTCTGATTAATTATACCGCTTAAAAAGTATGGTGACGATTTTCTTGTCGTTTAATCCTTTAAGAGTTACTCGATAAGATGATCAAAATATTTTTAAAAAAACATTCTTAGACGAGTCAGCATTTGTAGTTAAGACCGAGTGATCTCCTGGAGGTCGCTTTCTAGAAAATAGACGTCATATGTTCGATTCAGACAAATTTTAATGTTTGAGAATTGGTTTTTTATCTTTCAGTTGCTAACGGAATACGAATCCATGTACGATGACAAAGATCCAAAGGTAAAGCCTATGAAACAAGAAACGTTTCGCTTTACACCCTAACATCAGTATCCATATCTTTCATACTCTTCTCTATATTTCTCCTTTGGGACTGACTCGGACAATTTGTTTAACAATTTTCGACCATTTCCGATATTCTCACGATCTTAATGAATGATTCAGGAGTATTACTTTAAGGAGAAATAAGATGCTGATAACTCTTGGAACTTGAACGGTTAAGTTTGATTAGAGTAAGCCGCGTGCATAAAATTGTAAACTAGATTATCAGGAAGCATTTCTCGTTATAACCTAAGGAATTACAAATCTGAAAGGTCTCGTAAGGAATGGGAAGGCTCTGAGCTTGGCACAAGTGTTATAAACAACAAGAAGCACAGGATACCCAGCATCGCCTTAACCAAAGATACGCCTAGCGTCATCCTGTAATCTTTAACAACTTTATAAAAGTCAAAGAAAGTCGAGTTTTTTTAAGTTAAATTTTTAGCTTTCTTGTTTTCACTTTGTTACTCATGTGTGTGTGTGTCCGCTAATGGTAGCCTCAAGGAGGTTTGATCGCAAGCAGTGTGTCATCTTTTTGTCTCCTCAGGGATATGGCGCCATGCAGGAGCATCTCAGCGGCCAAGTATTGCACCCTTCTCTTTGCTCTTGTTAAAATTATCTTTCGTTCTTCATGTCATAAATTATCTGCCAGGATTTCGTTTTTCAACGGGCTATCACCAATAGAACGGAAATAAACTGATCCATTAGACGTAGAATGTAGAGGTGATAGCCCTCCCTGATTCCATTCCACAACATCGCCTGAGAAACAAATATTAATATTTCAAAAAAATTCATCTGAAATTGAATTTGTCTGATCCTCACAATGACGAGAAAAACTACCACACTGAAGTATCTAAGAATCTAAAACGCATCCAATTTCAAAACGCTGATTTGACACTTTTTTTTTTTATTAAGATTGCCATGGAAAGTTTGTTAAGTGATTACAAAACTTTGTGTGACGAAAGAGAAGAGGTAAGTTCACCACAAAACTGAGTAAAGATAATCTACAGTTTAATTGTGGTTTAACATCCGCTGCGTGTTATTCAACCGTAAGCTCGCCTGCTTACGTAGCAGATTCACGCACATCGATATTCATAATTCTTAGTACTGATAAAGCTCACAAATTTGGAGCACAATTTTCTAGAACTGTTTCAACGTTACTTGGATAGTCAATGCGTGCAAAAAGGAGAGAGACAAAACAATTCTAACATGACGGTTCATCTTAGCATTTTTTCTCCCCGCGTTTCCCCGCAAGCCACCTAATGTCACAAATCAAGGAAACTTTCTTTGGTGGATATATTTAACCTCTAACGACAACGATCATCGACAGTAGAAGCTAATTTTGCTTTATTCATTGCAGTTACTAAATTCCCTTCAAGATGTAAGTATTATCCTTTTGTTCTCGTCCTGTTGCACTGCTTTTTATGGCTGCGAAAACATCCTACCCGAAGCTGCAGGCGGCACACCGATGTTATGGTCTACATCGGGAATTTTTTACGGCATTTTAACTTGCCATTACGGAAGGCAATTTACTTGTCGTGTGAAGCGGTGTTGACTTACTTTTTATTCTCGGCTCATTTTTCTACAGTCGCTTGAATTTGACGAGGAAGAAATCTTAAATGAGGTAACTTTTAGGTTTTGTTTGTTTAGTGTTCACTTGTATTTTTTACTCTCCATGACTGAGTCTCAATCCAACGGAACAATACCCGGAAATATGTGACTTGGATTGGAGGATGTTGCTTGTGATTCGGTTATTGTAGTAAATGTTATGTGTATCTTTGTTACAGCTGGAGGCGATGAGCAAAAAAGATCAAACAATAGACATGGAGGGCACACAGCGAGCAATTCAGTATGTGAACTGTAAACTATTTTCCTCGCGAACAGCGAAGAGGCGGAGAGGGAATGTGTGGCTGGTGCTAGTGGCAGAACCTTATATATGGATGTCTGAAATGTTCTAAACCCTCCCCTCCCCCAGAAAAGTAAACACGAAGAAATAAACTTTATTTGAATTAGGAGTAAAAACTGCAGCCACCTAGGCCCCCTCATTGCTCCGCCGTTCTTTATGCTAATCCCAGTATAAGATTCTGCAGTCTGTTTTAACCCAGTTGCTAAGTTACACGTTAATTCATGCTCTCATGTTGTTTATCCTCTTTTTGTTTTACAGGGAAACGTTCCAAACTGTGAAAGACACTACCACCAAATTGGAGAAACTCAACAAAAGGATGATTGATGAATCGAAAAAAGGAGAAGCTACTAGGGCCTTAGAGGAGTATGTTTGGCTCCATATCTGCACCATAAGCTCTAAATAAGTATTTCGCCGGCTCTCTAAGCTAAGTTTGTTTTCTCAAGGTGTAGATACTCTGGTCTCCTCTTCTGGAACAAATTTTCCCTTCCTCGACTCACCTAAAGCCCTCTCAGTCCAACCAAACGTTCTTATTATTTTCATTCCGTTATTATATTACCTTATCAGATGTACCATTTGTTTGTCAATAATCATCTGGGGAAAAAAAATCAGGCCTAAAAAATTCAGAATTCAAACCCAGGCCTCTCAGATGCTAGTTGGAAGTTACTACCAACTGCAAGGAATTCACACAATAGTAATGAGGCGAATCTTGGATGATTCTTTGTTCAAGGATGTCTGAATGTTGTCCTACAGCCTTGTTGAAGGCCTCATTCGAACTGCAATATTGCTAATCAAATTTCTATCAAATATAGACATATGTGTGTCTTAATACATTATTTCGTTTTTGTTCATAACTCTCCAACAATCGGAGGGTCGCTTTTCACGTGAAGCTAAAATCATGATCATCCTAGGAGTGAGTTTCTCTTTTTTCCAGAGAAAAGAGACAGTTGGAACGGGAGCTGCAGATTCACAAAAGGATGGCCACGCAACAAAGGAAGGAACTTTTCTCAAGTAATTAGGACTCAAAAATTTCATTTGTAGCAAAAATAATTCCGAGGCAAAAGCCTCCATCTTTCCTGGTCAATGTTTGAGGGTAGATAACACTGTAGTGAAAGAAAAACTCTAGAATAAATACGTTGATCCCATTGCTATCGTATGAACTTGTATTTTAATTGTTTGATCTGTCAACTCAGAATCTCTTTTTTTGCGAGATCTTTTCTAGCTAGATTTTCTCTGGCGAAAGTTTTCACGAAAGGCAAATTTTCGTTTATTAGTACTTCAACAAAGGTCGCTCTTTCGAATTTTTATAAATTTATTATACTGATTCAGTCAGAAATTTGCCCGAATGTCTTCGAGGTGACCTTAGTAGGGGAAATGTCAACGATCTCCCAAGGTCAGTCCTCCTTCAGATCCTCCGAAGATAGCTTAAACCATAAGTTCTGGATTCCTCAGCTTTCTGTGTAGTAATCAGCCATCCATGAATCTATGAGAGCTGGTATTTTGCCTTGCGAAGTCACAGGGTATCGGGGTTTCGTAATGGTGTTTCTTTTATTATTACAGGAAGGCAAAGCGTTCGAAATGAGACACAACAATGGAAACTTGTGGCTGGTGAAATGGTTGAAATACTACACATGGTGCGAAACGAGGGAAATTTAGGTAAAACTGAGGGGAACTGACCCCTTTTGTTCACTATTTTCTATCACAATCTTCAGATATTTGAAGGATAACAAACACACTTGCCTCCATTTGACGGGAAAGCATGCTCGTATAGTTGTCCTCATACATTTTCTGTTCCTCGAAGCTCACAGTTTTCGTGTGTGTTCGCAGCTCGGATCAGATAATGTCCTCAGCAAATATCCGTGCATACTTTCTGGCCAAATGGCTATTGTTTGTATATTATCATAATTATCACCACTGTCATTTTTTTATCATTATTATTATTATTATTATTATTATTATTACTATTCTTAGTGTTATTATTTTTATTGATACCATTTTAATTAATTTTATTACTACATTGAGACTGTAGACCTCAATGATTATCCTGCTTCATTTTTTCATAGATAAGGAATCCTTAGAAAAGGAACTTCAAAAAATCGTGGCGACTCTTAACGATCAAAATGAGTACATCGAGAAGTAAGTATTTACACAGGGAAGCCAAGCTCAAGCTCTTGGAGCAGGACTTATGGTCACTACTGTGGCTTATGCTTTGTCAGTTCAAGAATGTCCGACTGATACTTCGTAGCGTCACCTATAGCGGTATCAAAATGCCTCAAGAAAAATGAACTAAATCTAATCTTGGCAATACTAGCGCAATTTGGTAGCAACTTAGGGAAGAATCAGCACTTCAGCCAAGTGAGCCGCACCGA